TGCTGAAATGTACATAGTCTCTGTCTGGTTAACCCTCTTCCAAGGAAAAGTGCTCTTGGGAAACTGAATCTGTTATAAAACTATGGGCTTAGCCTGGAAAGGTCTGGAGGGAAATGCTTCTCCACTCCAGGTACCAGAAGTGCTCATGCCTCCCTTCCTGAACAGTGCTAACAACATGTAGGGTCCCTGTTCTCAGAATCTCCTTTTTCTAGACTCTAGGTCCTACTCTTGCCTGTCTCTTCAGACATGTTGGCACCACTGATGAAACTCTGGATTCCTTCCTCTTTCATTCTCGACCTCAACTCCCAGACCATACTTTAACCCTAGCCCTTCCAGCTCTGATCTAGAAACACCCTGAGCTCTAAGGCAACTTCTAGCCATTCCATCCAAGGCGGTTGGATATTATGACCAAAAATAGCTCTGTCGACAATTAACATTTACTGAGCACTCACCCTGTGATAGGCGTGGTGATAAATGCTTTAACTTCATTAATTCACTGAGTTCTCATAACAACTTTCTGAGGTAGGTACTAATATTTAGCCCCATTTTATAGAGGAGGAAGCTGAGGCTTTGGGTGGTAACTTGCCCAAGATCACAGAGTTGTTAAGCGGTAAAGCCAGGATTCGAGCCTAAGTCCTTTTGACTCCAGAGCCCGGGCTCCTAACCCGCAGGCAGTATGGCCTCCAGGAGTGACCTTGACCTCTGCCTGAGAGCATCTCGCTGTGGACCTCTGGCCCTACTCACCGCACACAATCAGCAAGGGCAAGTGGGCAAGAGAACTTTCCTTGTTGACATGCAAGCTTAAAAATAATAGGTTTGCTTGTAATTATTAGAAATCAAGCCATGATCTGAAAACACCTACAGAAAGAGACAATGGGAACTCAGAAAAACCCGTCTATGAAGGCCAAGGAGTCCACGCTACATGGCTCACCGTGTGACATTTTAAACAGCACATATCGTGTGGTGAGCTTAGCTGAAACGCTGCACAGGCACAGAAGGACCCATGAGGCCCTGCCTACACTGGGCAGGTGGGGCGGTACCCTACTAAAGGCCACAGAGAGGACCACCCCCCCCGCCCCCCAACAGAGACAGCTTGTTATTCATCACACTGGAGGGAAGGGCTCCTAATGAATAAACAAATAAGAGTGTTTCTATACATTTCCTATGTGATTCAGAACCAGTGAAGCAATAAGCCCCAGGTGCTTGTTTAGGAAGGACACGTCGCAAATATTTGATGTCTCAAATAGCTTTTCAGAGAAACAACATGGAAAAGAGGTTCTGGGGCCTGTTTCCCCTATCTAACCTTCTCTCTGTTTTCTCACGTATGATTCAAAATTGAAGACAAACCAAACAAACAAAATCCAGATGGGACTGGAAATGGCTTGAGTTAATGTGGATCAAGAAGAAAAATGGAAAAAATAAAAATCACAGATAACCCCCCAAACCTCATTTCAACCACCACTCTTCAGATATTTCACAGAGAGGCTAGTGAGTTGTCAACAATCACTTTATTGAGCATTGCAAGGTGCACAGCATTGTACATAGCTTGAAAATGTCAAGTTGACTTAAGCCACACCCTCTGCAAAGGCCTCCCCGACATCCATGGTTTCTGGTTTTCCCTCCTGTGCTCCGGGGTCCAGGCTGGTAATCAAGTGCGCCATGTTCTCTCCACTGGGTGTTGAATTGCTCTAAGGTGGGACCTGTGCATTGTTGATCTCTGCAACCTGGGTGTTCAAGTGCACGTTTGACAGATGAATGAATGCGTGGATGGCTGCTGCTTCACTCTAGCCCCTTCTCTCGACCCCTCGTCTGCATTTAGGGGCAAGTGCTGATGCTGAGTGAGAAGCAAACGCTCAAAAGGCACAATGGAAAAGAGGAGGCTAATCCACAGACTAGGAAATCAGCTCCGAAATCACGAAGAGTTGGCTGACCTCCCCAGGGGCCTGAGGACATGACAGAGCCACAGGAAAATCTTCAAGCCAGAGGTGGGGCTCATGAACCTGAACTCCCAGCTCAAAGCCCACAGCAGCTCACTGGGAACGGGTCAGCAGAGCCAGCGAACCAGTGGTCCAGAGTGGAGAGTCTCAGCCGCCTAACTTAGGGATTCTTTTGCTTTATTATCCCTTTCCAGATTTCCAAAAAAGGCCACATCATAATAAATAAATAAGACACTAAGCAACTAGAACTGAAAAGGAAGACATTTTCATATGGTTCTCAAGCAGCAGTTTGGATGCCCTGCTCCTTCTGCGGTGCCAGGGGGCTCAAGCTGCCGTGGAGTCCCTTTGGGCCTTACAGGATGCAAACAAGCACGACGAGGGAGCGTCGATCCCACAGGACGCAGTAAGCATGATGCTGTGCATGGATGGTAATCACGTCATCACATAGGCCGGTCCCGTTGGTTCATCAGGGCCTGGCCTGTTTGATGGATGATGGAGAAAACTCTGCCACGGTCCAGTGAGGCAGCTGCACGGTGACCTCCAGCACCATGTATCTGACATCCCAGGTGTGATGGGACGGGTGCAGAAGACCCCAGCTCCCGACCTGCCATCAGCCAGTCTCCCTGGACCTCAGTTTCCTTATCAAATGAGGGGTTAGCCAGACCATCTCTCTGGTCCCTTCTGAGATTCCCTTTCTTTCATCCTCCAGGATTCTTGACCCATCAGTACAAGACAAACCCTCACCCTTCCACGTACCTTCACGCTGCAGAAATGAAGGGAAGCCTGACCACAGACTTTCATGCTCACAAACAGAAATATTAGCAAAACTCCGCATAAGAGTCTTAGAGAATCGAGCGCATGGCTCCCTCTGACATGGACACGGCCTGGCGTCCCACTCCCCAACCCTGCATCACATACTGATCGGGATGGTAGTTTGCTGGCTGCTTTTCTACTTTGGGTCCCATTCAATGATTCTCCTACAAAACGTTAACTCTGATTACACTCACGTTTCTTGTCCACCACCTTGATGCAAACGGTTGACCTATTCTTCTCTCCCTGTTGCCTTTCCGGACCCCAAGCTTTTGCATCTGACTTCCAGATGAGTGGTGGCCTGCACTCCCCCAGATCAGCATTTTACTCTTGGCCCTTTTCTACCTCCCAGCAACTCCTGAGGATGCTCAGAAAAATCCAGGTGGTTCCATCTCAGCTGCGGAAGGCAGAGTAAAGTTTGGGAGGTTCTGCTTCCCCATATTATCAGTTTCAGTGCCAGAATTAGAATGACAAGTGCTTGATCA